TATTAAATTGTTTGGTGTTTCCGTGTTTCCAAATTGTCCAAGTATCTATGAGATAGAGATCTCTAATTAATATTGATGACAAATAACACAAACAATCATAATCTTGTGTATTTGCTCTCAAAAAATAGTTGTTGCAAAGAATGTTGAATAATTACCTATCATATAAAAGACTACACCGCGTTTATTTAGGCTATTATATAAAAAATTAAGGCATAACAAAACAAATGAGTAAAACTAAAAATAAAAAAAAAGAGCAATCTTTTATAAGTGTTAATAATAGAAATCTCCGGTTACTGTTTATTATTATTATTATTATTATTATTATTATTATCGAAATTCTTTGGAATTTTATTTACATTAAGATAACCTAAATCACCGCCATGACTTGAACTTATTATCAGATGGATACTTCTGTTAATCCTCTTCGTCATCAGTTATGAGCTTTGGAATATTTTTCAGTAAAGATATCTGTTTACAACAATAAAATTAGTTAAACAAGTAAAATGATGAGATTTTTGGAAGAGTACGATAACAATCGCTTAATATCAGTAGAATATGGTGTCATGAATGATGTAACTGTTAATTTGTAGTATTCGTAGACACTGGAAAGTTCAATGAAAAGAAACAGATGCATTGGCTAATCGAAATTTCATCAATTATTAGCTCTCGGGATTCTTAGAAAAAAAATGTATTTATATTTATATTTTATATTCTTGAATGCTTTGATTGATTGATTAATTCATTGATTGTTAATTAACAATTTCTTTTTCTCTCATTATTCTCTTTTTCAAAAAAAAAGTACCTAGAGATATGCAGTTCCTTTATGATAATGCACAACATTATGGACCGCAATTATGCAATTCTACACTTGTTTATTTAATTTTATATATAAGAAATAATTAATGAAATATCTTGTTAATTCATAATTTCTATTCAAAATGTATTTATTTGCGCGGCAAATACCAATAAAAATAATTGTTACACCGAATTTTTGATGTTTGTTCAAAAAAAAAATTTTATTCATTCAATTTCAAGAATATTAAAATTGAACCATCAAAAAAATTCTGTTACTAAATTATTATTTATCAATTTACTCAATAACAGCACCAACAACAATAAAATCAGCAATATAAAAAGAAGTAAACATTATTTATCAATATCAAAAATGTCAAGAAAATCTCAGACGATACTTCCATCAGTTGAATTACTTTCTTCACTAACCAAGGAACCGTTTATCGATACGCATACACATTTACATTATGTTTTAGAACGTCTTCCTGATCATTTAGGTGTCCTCACCTATGATGATCTGAAGGAACGTTATTGTCCTCCGAACTTGGAAGCTTGTATCAATGTATTATGTGATCCTGCAAGTTTTGTTGCCGATGGAATTTTTCCAGGTACAATCATGGATTGGAGAGGCATGGCAAGAATACCATTCATGTATCTTGCAGCAGGAGTTCATCCACATAATGCAAAAGATTATAATGATTATGTTGAAGATCAGATGATCAAAGTTCTTGAAAATGAAAAAAGTTTGGCGTTGGGAGAAATAGGGCTCGATTATCATTACGATAATTCACCCAAAGATATCCAGAGAACGGTATTCGTTCGCCAGATCAAAAAAGCCATAGAGTTGGGAAAACCGCTCGTTATTCATACTCGTGAAGCAGAAGAGGATACATGGAACATAATGACAGAGCACATACCTAAAGAATGGAAAATTCATGTTCACTGTTTCACAGACACTCCAAAATTTGCAGAACAATTACTTGGACATTTTCCAAACCTTTTCATTGGCATCACTGGAGTTGTAACATTTGGATCAGCCAGGAATACACAACAAGTAGTCATCTCAACACCTTTAAATAGACTATTACTTGAAACTGATGCACCTTACATGGTACCTAGTAAACTAAACAGAAACAAAAAATCGCATTTAAAAGTTACAGTGTGTCATTCTGGAATGATCCCTTTTGTTGCAGAGAAAATATCTCAACTTAAAAATATCGATATTGATACTGTGATGAAAACTATAAGAGAAAACACAAGAAATATGTATGGTATATAATCAGTTGATTCAATCATTAGCAATAATACTAAAATTAGAATAAGACATAGATATATAATGTAATTATAAAATGCAAATTATATTTTAAACCTTTAAAAATTAAAAGATTTGATATCTTTAAACCTTTGGTTTTTTAAATAGAATAGCATGAATCCAGTTTTATTATTGTATATTTATATTTGCAAATAAAAATAATAAAATAATAGAATACGAAGTGAAGTACAATGCCTGTACAGGACATTATTATTAGACAAAATGTTTTCTATTATTCATTAAAGCACATTCATCTGACGATGAAGACATTTTTTATTGCATATTCATAACGTGATTTAAAATTCAACAATTGTTGAATCCATTGTGGATCCTTCTATCTCATTGAAAGTCCTATATTTTGTTGTTAATATTAATATTATACTTGGAAGATAATTAAGGACACAAAAATGTTTTGATTAATGTATAAATAGTAGATGGAAAATCTTATTAAATTTGCATTCTTTATCTATTTACATTATTTAATAAAATTGATAGTTTTGAAAAAGATAAATTGATAATCAAGGTTTTGCAATGTTAGAATATCTGATTACAAATAAACCACTTCTTGAAGGATCTTTTAAGTTTCAAGTATCGAATTATCAAAGATGTTATTATAAACATGAAGCAAAATAAATTTACTTTATGATTATCAGAATGGAAAACAATTGGCGATGTTAATAATACAATATATTTATTAATAACAAAATAGGTTATCAAAACTCTATTGACATTTCTTCCACCTAAAATAGAATAAATAAACATTTTGTTAAAAAATAACATTACCAAATTAATAAAATATCAAAAATTTACAAATACCTTGACAATCTTTCATTATAAGATTCATGTCGAATCATCAATGCTAATGCTGTTGCTGCACGTAAGGCTGAAGGATCTCCTCTGCGTGATAAAGTGTCTAATGCTTGATTTAAAGACCCTTTTTTTTTGGATGCAAGATGGCTTAATTCAAAATAATTAAAATAACAATACGATTAATAATTAATGAATCAAATAACAAGTAAAAAATAATAGAACACTTCTTTTGAAACTATATAAAAAAAAAATAAACATATATTTACCACATTGCAGCTTGCTCATAAGCTTCATCCTTTTCAAGTTGTTCGGCTAATAAAGAATATAGATCAAATAGTATAGGATTGTTTTCACTAAGTCGTAATCTGGCTAAAGCAATAGCCTCTCTATAACATTAAATTAAAAAAACCAAACAATATTGCTAATATGTAAAATTATGGCTTGATTATTTGATTTTTCATTACTTAAAAAAAAATTATTTACCGATACATTTTTGCATTAACGTAAATATTAACTGCTTGATGTGTTTCACCACAAGCTAATAAACACATTACTGCACCATGATAATTATTCTTATTTACAAGTTTTTGTGCTAACCGCCGTATTAAAGCTTCCCAAACATCTTTTCCAACTTGATACACACACACGTACATATAAATCTTAAGTGATTAAAAATCGAATTGTTTAAAATGTTTATGAATAATTAACAGAGAGATCAACGTACCTGAAGGACTAAGTGCTAAAACCATCCAATCTTTTACGGAAAATTCCTCTTGTTCATCATGCAGCTCAATAAATTCTGCTATATTATTAGTCCATAGATGTAAGGCTGAACTAGCATTTATTTCCATGTTACCGAAATTAACTGTATCATCAGAACTATCGAGTGATAATGCTAATTCATTAAATGGGAAGGAAAAAAATCATGTCAAAATAAATTACAAGCTTCTATTGTTATAAATTTTATAAATTTACTCAAACTTCAGATGATAATCTTTTTACCTTCTTCCCCCAACACTTTCCTAACATCTTGCTTCTCTCCGAAAAAAACACTTTTAAAAAACGATGATGCTTCGTAACTAAAATTTTCTTCGGAAGAACCTTTCCCTTTTTCATCATAATCTTTTATAAAATTAATTGCAATTTTTACATCACCTCCATACAACTTACTAGCAATTTCGAAACATTCATACTGTAGTAATTTACGTTTTACCGGGTAAAAACTTTTTGGAAGTATAGTTTTTAATTTTTTGTTTTTTTTAGTGGAATATGATCTTGACTTTCGACTAATAAATTCCTTATTATCAACAGTCTCATTAACAGAACTATCAACAGCACCATTAACAGAATTATCAACAAAATTATCAACAGCTTCTTTAACAGAATTATTCTCAACTTTATTATCAGCAGTATCAATAGCATTATTGTCGACCTTATTATCAACAGTATCATCAACGATATTATCAATAATGTTATCAACAACATTATCAGCGATCTTATCAATAGTATTGTCAACAAGATTATCAGCATTAACAAGATTATCAACAGTATTATCAACAAGATTATCAACAGTATTATCAACAGTATTATCAACAGTATTATCAACAGTATTATCAACAGTATTATCAACAGTATTATCAACAGTATTATCAACAGTATTACAAACAACAACTGCAGATTTTTTTTTTTAGAAAAAAGGTTTAATGAATAAATATATTTTATCAATTGAATGAAATAATAATAATAGACTGTTTCTTTTGAACATACCTTTTGTAGGTTTATATGGATTTTCAGAAGGTCTCCAAGAAAAAATTGAAGCGTCACAACCTCCAGTAAATACTAGATCAGGTTCTTGTAAACTCCAGGTAGCACTTAGTATCTTGTTAAGGTGTGCATCATCAAACATAGAAATTGGTGAACCATCTTTTAAATTCCATACCTTATTAAATAATCGAGAATTTGTTAAAAAAACTTTGATTAATAACGATAATAATAGTCCAAAAAATTATTACAATAGCTGTTCCATCACCAGATGATGATAATAAATGATCGTTAGTGAGTGGTGACCATGACAAATCAGTTATCATTTTTTTGTGTGATTTAAAAATAAATTTTGCTGAGTTGGCAGGTATAGTAACTAATAATAATAATAATAATAATAATAATAATAATAATAATAATAATAATAGTAAATGAAAGTATACTATGAATAATAAATAAAGTCATCAAAAGATTTATTTAAAAGTTAATTATTTATTCACTTGTAATGTTTAATTCTTCAATATCAGTAAAGTCATGGATTAATATTGAAGTATCTTGTGATCCGGAAGCAAGTAAACGTGAATTATCTTTAAAAATTAGGAATGAATAAATAAATAAGTATGTATGTATGTATGTATATATATATATATATATATATATATATCAAACATGATAACATTAAATATTGAATAGATCTTAAAAATACCTAGATTGCACCATTTGAGTTTTGTTATTTTTCCAGTGTGACCAATACTACGATAAACAAGCTTAAATGAGGGAAGTTCATAAACTTCAATTCCACCATCATTATTCCCAACAGCCAATAATTCACCACAAGAATTAACTGAAAATGCACTTCTTTTCTGATATAGAGTTCTATCAATCTAATAAAATAAAATAAATCAACAAATTAAAAAATCTATTTATTTCAAAAAAAAAATCAAATATTTAAAATGTTTATTAATTTCAAGTTTTAGTAATAATAATAATAATAATAGTAATAATATATACATACCTTTAAAATTTCAATTAATTCTGGATTGGCACCTTTTATAAAATTGTCAATTTGATATGAGACTGTCCTAGGACTAGACTGAATATTTAAAAGCAATCCAGTCTCTAATGAACAGCTAAGCAGATACATGTCAGAATCTTTCTTGTTATTTATCGGCAAATCTATCCATTCACTTTTACACCATTGAAGAGATGTTACTTCTCCTTTATGATAGGATTTGAAAACTGTTGAATTATTTCCATTCTGATAAATATTAAAAAAACCGATCATACCCGAATTTGTACCAAATGCTAAAACACCTTCTTCATAAGGATGCCACTTAACCTGAAATTTAACATATTGATTAATAATAGTTTTTTCCTTTTCAAAAACAAAATAAATAAAATTACTTACACAAGTAGCATTATTACTAAATTTAATTACTTTATAAAAATCTTTATTATCATAAAGACCATCTTCACTAGCATAATCCCAGACATGAACTTCGTTTGAAGCAAATGCAATTTTTGTTGGATCAATTGCCAAAATATCTAATGAATCAATTCTACCCTTATTACAAATTATTTTATAAATTGGTTTTTTCTTTTCAACATCCCATACTATTATCATACGATCTATCCCCAGTGTAATGATTTTACTTGCACATGGATATGAAATGATTTTTATTACTGATCTATTATGTGAGTTAACATCATTTGTAAATCTGTTGAATTTGGTTTTGGCATGATCCGAATCAAACGTTAACAAATCACCCCTGTTAATATTACATTATAGAAATTTGATTTCATTGATAAATTATGACAAATAATTAATAAAAAAATTTTTTTTTAAATATGATGTGCATTTTTTTTTACCTATAAGATGACACAATTAATTGATTACGTTTAGGCAGCCATGTTAAAGCCAAATTTAGCCTTTTTTTTTGTGAATCAGTTAAATGAGACATTGGTGCTGGCAGTGTTAATTCTTTCACGCGTGTTTCTGATTCAACATTCCAAATACAAATGGTTTTATCCTTAGCACTAGATGCAAGCTGCGTCAAAGATCCATCTAAATTTTCAATTTCTTTTTTAAAAAATAAATAAATTCAATAAATTATAAATTAATTTAAATAAAATACAAAAATCAACAATAATAATACCAGTTGGAATTGACCAAGCTAATCCTTGAATCTCTTGATCGTGGCCATTAAATCTATGAAGTATTGAACAGCTTTGATTTTGACCAATGGTTAAAATAAAAACTGCACCATTTTGATGACTTTTAATAGAATAATAAAAGAATCATGAATTATGCATACAAACATTTTTATGCGCACACACATATACACATATATATAAATACATACAAAAATCTTTTTTTTTTTTTGTGAATAAATATATTTTTTTAAGCTTACCCTATCGCAAATACATCGTTACGAGTGGGTGATACCTTAAGCTCGGTAATTGATGATTTTATAAAGTTGAACAATTTATTTTTATTTGCTATAGGGTCCCATATACAGATTTCACCTACATGTCCTCCTAATTTATAAATAAGATTGGTTTTCTTGATTAATCTAAATCTAACAAATAAGAATACATATTGTATAATGTTAATTTACCTGATACAATGGTTTTTTTATCATTAGTCCAAGATATTACATAAACATCATGCTATATAAAATTATGAAACATCAAGTCAAAATAAATACATAATAATAAGATCAATAAAAATTTTTGATTATCATAAATAACAAATCAAACCTTAAGAGTTGTTGAATGAATGGGTTTTTTGGTTGTTATATTCCAACATTTTATGGTTTTATCATTACTCCCGGAGGCGCAATTATTTCCAGCTACTGATATTGCATTAACCTTATCTTTATGACCTTTGAGTGTCCCAACATACTCAAATGTATCAGAATCCAGTAGTATAATGGATTCATAAGAGGCATAAGCAAAAATGTTAGACTCTACGCACAATGAGGCACAACCAGAGTACCAATTTGGTGAAGGAGGTAAATAACGAACAAATTTCATAATTTTTTTGATTATTTATATAAAGAAAATCAATATTTTTATAGATCTTGTGATTATATCATGTCTCATGTTAATTGGACTGAAAACATTCGATCAACAAGTCATAGATGGGATAATTATAATGATGAAAGGTCTCACGCTTAAATCATTAAAGTTTTAGCAACATGACGAATGATGCTCTTCTCTGCTTGTTGGCATCAAAAAAACGAAGAACAAAAAATTTATAACGACAATAATAAAATAAATAGTCAACCCCACTAATCCGAAAACTCCGTTAAGATGAATTCTTTTTAAAGCGCAAGACCAAAATCACATAATAATAATGATAAAATTCACTCCAAACTAATTACCGTTACCGAAGATTTTTTTGTGGATTAAAACTTACCAAGACTAAACAATTCATGAACATATTAATGATACGATTTTGATTTTTTTGATTTATGGTCGTCAGCTTCTGGTTCGTTACCATCATCGTAATCATCGTCATCGTAATCATCGTCATATTGTAAATATTTTCTTTTAGATGATGATGACTCTATTAATATTAATAATTATAATTATAATTAATTATTGTTAGATTAATAACTATTCCGGGATCATTTAATATTATTTTACCATTATTTGTCAGCAGCATCCTGAATTCACTAACAAACAAACAAAATTAATTAGTCGATAGTTATAAACAATATAACACAATAAATACAACGCATACACTCTTTGCTCATCAGGATTTTTTAAGTTTACAGGTGGGTGTGACATCGAGGAGAAGGAAGGACCTATTTCTAGGCATTTAAAAAAATGCCTAGCGTAACAAATGACTGATATTTCTCTTTTACATTTTAGGCATTTGGTTTTTTCTTTTATTGATTTTAGGTTTCTGACTTCCTGACCGAAAACGTCGTATCCTCTTTTGTCTAAAAGAATTAAAGGATTACTTTGATTTACGTATTATTAGTATTAGATTTTTTCGTTAAAAAATTATCCTAAATTATCGAAATCGAACGCATCAAGGATTAACAAAAATTACCCAGGATCCAATTCATCAAGTTCATTCGTTATGATAAACTTTGATTTTTTTTCTTCGTTTTGTACCTCTAGCATAATATCAACCACACATTCATCGAGTAAATCTTGTAATATGTCTTTCGCCTACACAATATATACATGTTAGGATTTTTTTCGAATAAAAAATAGTGTGATTAAAAAAGTCATCGAGTCTTTGAAGCAGGTATTGATTGCAAAATATACCAATTGATTTATTAAAGCCGATGATGATGGTGGTGGAGGAGAAGAGGGAGGAGAGGAAGAAGAAGAAGAAGATTGTGGAGAGGAGGAGAAAAGTGAAGACGGATAAGATGATGTTAGTGAGAAAGAAGAAGAAGAAGAAACTTGTGAAGATGGTTGAGATTGAGATGATGAAAATGATGATGGTGGTGGCAAAGATGAATGATTTTCTATTATTTGATGGAAAATCAAAAAAACTCAATTCTATTAGCAATATATTAATACGAATACTAGCATCTTTATTATCGTTGTTGTTTTCTTTGTTATCATTAATATTATCATTGTTAATATTAATATTAAAATTTTCTATACGATTCCAATATTATTCTATTTTATTTTCGCATTTATTAACAAAGTGTTGTTATTATTATTACCTGTATTATTATCAGAAGTCATTTTTTTAATATGTGTCTTAGTTTTTCTATTCTTTTCAATAGTAACGAACTTGTTTGAACAAGTGTTGTTTTTAACAGTGTTTTGTTTCTTCATGACTAAAATATTAAAAATGGTTTTCACTATTAAACCCTTCTTTAACTTTAAAAATTATTATCTCACGAAATTTTCTCGTTTTTCCAAAATAAATTTTTTAATATTTGATCTTTTGTATGTATATTTAAATATTTTTGAACTAAAACCCTTAATTTTCGTCAAATTTTGGATTTATCCTTTACTTATTATTATATGAAAAATTAATATTGGTAATCTCAAAATCATACACCTTTTATTTGTTTATAAATTTAATAAAATTGGTAATCACAATTTGAAGAAAGAATCACCAACTAACTGGACCAAAATTTTGGGTTCCCTGAACAAGACTATGTAAATCATTCTTAATGTTAAGTAATTCTACTCGTATAAATATTAACAAATATAAATAAATCAAATCTTAATCCGGTTAAATGGTTCAAAGAAATTACTTGTGATTAAAGAAATTGATTGTGATAAAGGTAATAAAATTTGATTGAAAAACGTAATAATAGCCGATCTTGAAATATTCTTTGCACGATCAATTAATAACAATTTTCTTCATCATTATCAATTACTTGTCCATATTAATAACTTCGTCTTCTTCGTCGTCATTAATATTATTTCAGGCATCATCAACATTTTCATTCAATCCAAATAATAGATCATCTATCAATTGAACTTCTCATAAACCATCAACGATCATTTTTCTTGTTTTTTCCTTTGCCCACAATTAATTGACACAAATATATATTTTCTCAACTATAGAAAAGCTAACATTGGAATTAGTCTGGATAACCACTATTTGGAGTTGACAAAGTATGATGTAATAGTAAGTTCGATTTATCACATTTATCACTTTGTGACGATCTCAAATTTATGTTGTGCGACTATATAATTTTTACCTCGGTATAATAAAAATAAGTTTTTTTACTAGAAGCAAAGAGATTTTAAATAGTAACTTCGCTTATTAAAAAAAAAACTTTTTTCCAATACAATCACACAACTTAATTACAGATAAGTAATTTATTACTCTATTATGAATAAGGGCTATCGTTTATATTACAAATTTAACGTTCGTATTCATATCTATCTATTAATACTTGTTTTTATAAATAGTTATATATGCAATTAATTATCCAGTACAATATACAATATGGTGAATGGACATGGATTACTTTATAATCAATTCATAAAATAGAACATTTATTATTATACAAATTTCTTTGAAAGATTTAACTTTCTCTAATGCAATATCATCAGATGTAATAATGGCACATTAAAAACAGTAGTAGCAGTAGCAGTAGCAGTAATAATAGTTGTGAAACGAGAATGATATGACAATGGTAATGGTAACATATGAATAAACTCTCGTGTATATATATATATTTTACGCACTAAATTTTTTGTTCGCTGTGATCAACGTTATATGTTCCATATAAATCTTGATTATCCCTAAAATTTATTTTGTCACATTTTATATCCAATAAAATCAAACTTCCACCATGCCTATAAATCTCCCATTATTTTTATTCAACAATAATAATAATAATGGCTTTAGTTAATCGAATAATGAGGGTCAATCGAACTACAACAGCATTTTTACTTTGTGACATTCAAGAAAGGTTTGGCTCTCATATTTATCAATTTCCAAGTCTTGTCACTACTGCAAAGAAAATGGTAATTTAAATAGAATAGGATTTAATGAGTATTAAGAATAAGAAGTACTATTATTAAAATTATTATTATTAATAATAAAAAGATCTCAGCTGCAAATATCTTAGATATTCCATTAATTGTTTCAGAACAGGTTCGAATGAATTTATTATTATAGAATTTTAAAAATATTCATACAATTTGTAAAAATCAAAAAGTCAATTCTAACAAAATTAACAATACAATAATTTTTTACTTATTTAATAAAGCATCCAAAAGGTGCAAAGAACATTTTCTCGTTAATAAAAATTATATAATTTCATTAAAATAATTATATTAATTAATTGGTTAATTAATTAGGACTTGGAAGCACAGTTAAAGATCTTGATATTAAGAATGCAAAAGTTGTAGCAGAAAAAACCAAATTTTCAATGTTTGTTCCAGAAATTGAAAATGCTCTAAAAAATCATAATATCAAATCTATTGTACTTTTTGGAATTGAGGTAAACTATTTATTATTTATATTACTTTGGAAGATATTTTTAAATAATTCATTAAAATTATTATGTTAATTAATTAATCAACCAATTATTTATTTGCTCAAAGGCACACGTTTGTATTTTACAAACAGCTTTAGATCTAATCGAGAATAATTATGATATTCATGTTCTAGCTGATGGTGTATCATCAATGAATTATCCAGAGATTGAGATTGCTTTAAATGTAAGTTGTGATTTTTTTATTTGTTGTTGTTGTTGTTGTTTGATGTTGTTATCAACATCATTATTATTATTGTATGATCTTTTTATTCACACAGTTTTATATATATTGGTATGCATTATAGCGTATACGACAGGCTGGTGGATCAGTTACATCTTCAGAATCAATATTATTTCAATTACTTAATGATTCATCTGATCAAAAGTTCAAACAAATTTCTTCATTAGTAAAAGAATACAAGAAAGAAACTTCTGAAAATAAATTAATGTTTAAATCGAATTTATAATATTAAAAATTTTGTCATATAAATAAAATATTTTATGTTACATACTAAAATGAAGATTGTCAAAGATTTAAAAAGATGCTTTTTATCTATACATTTGCTTATTTGATGATTGATGATTAATGATAATGACAATGACAACAACAAACCACAAGTGTAAATATTCCAAGAGTTTAATCAAATAATTAATTTTTATTAATTCAGATGGTCACCTTGTCTTTCTAATTCAATTGCTTTTTTTTTTAAATTAAAGAAACATGTTTTCCTTTATAAAAAATGCCTCTACCACAAATGAAAAAAAGTACATGAACTGGAATTATAAAGACTTCATCATCAATTTTGAATTTAAATCTTTTTAATAATGATGATAGCAATAGTACAATGTTATTTCAAGTATACACAAAACTTCCAGATAAGTTGTATGCAAAATTTTCATTTCATTTTAAAAAAAAAAAATTTTCAAGACTTTTCACAATCTAATTGTCATATCCTATCATCAATTACTGTTTTATCATTAAAATCTAGAATATATGATTTATGACTATGACTTCGTCACTGGTTGGTGTGGTTTGTTATTTATGGTATTGCAAGCTTCCATTCAAATAAGATTGTTATTTTAACCAATGAATGATTTGACATGTATGATTACGAGAAAAATCTTCAGCGAAGTTAAATGGTTTTAGAAATACTATGGCATTAAAAGTTTGTTGCAATACTGAAGGGTTGTAGTGGTGAGTGTTGGTCGGTTTGCTATACCATGATTAAGACTTCAAAGAAATTCTTTAGGTGTTTTGGTTCATTATTTTTTTAGTTGATAATTTTTAATAATTTTTGAAATTTCTTACCACAAGATTGTAGATAATTATTTTGAGACAAGTCAACATGCTTTCAATTGAAAGAAGTTGCTCCAGCAAAAAAAAAAGAAAAAAAGACTCATTACAACGTTTAACCTTTGATTTGATCTCATCCTTCACCAACAATTCAGTTGAGCAACTATTTGGTTTCCATTACCGTAACTGCATTTAATATTAATATTAATATATCAATAATAATTTTTGTTGAATAAACGAATAATTTGCTAAAACGAATAAAGTAAATAAAACGTATAAATCGAGTAATTCGAATAAAATGAATAAACCAATAATTCAAATAAAGCGAATAAAGCGAGTAAAGCGAGTAATTCGAAATAAAATGAATAAAATGAGTAGTTCGAATAAAACAAAAAAACGAATAATTTGAACAATAATTTGTATTACGAATAGAAACTCTACTCTTATAAACAATACCCGAAATATCAATATAAAACAACAAGTTAAATTATTTATTCGAAATAATTAATAATACTTTGTTATTTTTTGATTTTTAATGTTATATAATATCACTTTTTTTTAATGATTTAAAAGCTTTTGATTCATTTCTAAATTATTTGTTCAAGAAAATTATAAGCATTGACTGTATTCCTTTATTGTGATATTATATAGGAATATT